CAAGATGAGTCTCAGTGGAAGAGTATAGAGAAGAAGAGGTGTCAAGAATGGAAGAGACAAAAGTACCAAACTTAAGCATGGACTTGTAAGTGACACATTCTTATTGATCATAGGAGAATCCTAGATCACTCTTTATCTTGGCAGGGATCTGAGGTTTGATGATCTTAGAGGCCTTGATAGAGGCTTTGCACCACCCTTCAATGGTAGTGTTCTCAACCTTAAGTTCAACAATGACTTGCTTACGCTCAGCGATAGCCTGCTCGCATTCGATGCTTATGGTTTGGTTTACAATGACCCGATCCTTAAGATTTTCTTCAAAATTAGTCAGCTATTTGATATTTGAACGACATCTCTCTAATTGTTCTTGAAGATCAAGATTAATCTTTTCAGCTTTGGATTTGCCATTTAAGGCATTGTAAAGATCAACCGTCAGCGTATTTAGTGTAGATAGGTTATCAGAGGTAGAAGAAGAGGGTTCATTCAGGGAACATACCTGAGTAGAAGTAGATGATGAGGGATCACTAGAGAATGATGTCTCTGATGGTTCATCTTTGACATCCTTGGCCATTAGACAAAGATAGGCCATATCTTCCTTGTCAGATGATGATTCTTCAGAAGAATCAGCCCAGTAATGTTCTTTACTGACAAGACCTTTTCCATTAAGCAAAAAGTTCTTCATCATTTTATACTTCTCCTTCAAATTCAGGTAATTATCATCTTTATTTCTGACGGAGGATGGGGGTTTGGAAGATGGCATCGCAGTCTTCTTGAACCTGCATTCACTAGCAAAGTGACCTTCGCGTTGGCAGTTGTAGCAGATCGCTGAAGTCTTCTCAATGGGATTTGATTTTGGCTTTTAAAAAAGAGTTAGAGATGGAAATATGAGGTAATTATTTTTTCTAGTGAACCTTCTAAAGGAGTTAGTAAGAAGGGCTAGTGACTCATCAAACTCTGAAAGATCAGCGTCTGACAAGCCCTCAAAGGTAGAAGGATCTAACTTAATGATAAATACAAAGAAATAGAAGGAATAGAAGAAAAATAAGGGTCAGCTGAAGGGCTTTCAGAGATCAAAGCTAACAGAGAGCTTTTCATTTCCCTAAAATCTTTAAGAAGATTCTTCTTAAGTTGACGGAATCGCTCATGATTAAGCAATATCCCATAAAGGGTACTAAGAGAGAGGGATGACAAGTCCTTGGTGTTAGACCCCATAATTTATAAGTGTAAAAGTAATGAAGAACAATAAGTGATGAAGAACCAGAAGACCGATGAAGACATTAAGGCAGAATTGACCAAGTCTGGAGAGGAACCAGAGGGTCGATGAACAACCAGAGATGCGATGGAAAGAGCATCTTCTTCACCTCTCTGGTCAACAACACTTGGAGTTTTCTTCAGCAATTCAACCAGAGACATACGATGAGGATATGAAGATAAGGTTGAATCATCATCCCATGAAAGACAGCTGGAGATGACAAATCGACAGCTAGATTTCAAGTTTATCTTAATTTATAGCTTATCCATAGTTTAGATAAACTTTATCCGTTAGTAGAATATTAGATAAATAGTCTCACTAGATAGTTATCTTCTAATTAGCCTTCAAGTATAAATAGGTGATTAGGCCTATTGTTAAAAAAATTGCTTTTACGTTTTTCATATTGAATAAAGTGAAATCATTGGCATTCAAGATTATTCTTTGAATGTTCATACATTGTTCTTGAGTGTTCATCATTTTGTTCATCAAAACACTATAATTTGGTTATTCTTAACTCGATTATTAGTGTTATTGAGAGATCTAGGATCAACAATTGGTATCATAGCCAATTGATTGTTTCTCTAATCAAACGATCATCCAAAATCTCTCAATTCACGTTTTTCATAAAATATCGTCACCAAAAAAAAACGTAAAGTTTCTCTCTTCTGAAATTCTTCAATAGCCAACTCGAATTCTGCATATAGTGTTGGCTCCCTCACCAAGCCTCAAACTCTTCAACGAGAAGAGTATCCACAATGGAGGATAAGGATGGTAAACTTCTTGGAAGGAATGGACAGGAACCTCCGGCGATCTGTAATGGAGGGTCCTTACATTCCACAAACTCTTGTCCCAAGAGTCCCAGGAACAAATACCACGGCTGAAATCCCTGCCTACTACATGCCCAAGGATGAGAAGAATTGGGATGAAGACGACATAGAATGGGTTGAGACCGACAAGAAGGCCAAAAGACTGATAATAATGGCCATACCCAATGAAATCTTCCAATCCCTTGATGCATGTTTGATGTGCTAAAATCGTAAGTGTACACACAGTGGGCATAAAATCCCCAAAGTGGCGGTGCAAGTGCAC